TGGAAAAAACTTCACATTACTACAGAGAGCAGAAAGGACTTAAGACACAAGAGTTTGAATATGGTGGATTCCCTCTCCATCATGACTGAAATCACTCAGGCAGAAGGGGAGCCAAGAAAGCAGTCTTAGAATCACAGAATCATTCATGTTGGAAAAGACCCTTGGGATCATCGAGTCCAACCATCAGCCCTACTCTACAAAGTTCTCCCCTATACCATGTCCCCCAACATCTCATCTAAACGACCCTTAAACACATCCAAGGATGGTGACTCCACCACCTCACTGGGCAGTCTATTCCACTGTCTGACCACTCTTTCTGGGAATTTTTTTTTCCTAATGTCCAGTCTGAACCTCCTTTGTTGGGGTTTAAAGCCATTCCCCCTTGTTCTGTCACTAATCACCTGTGAGAAGAGACCAGCACCAACCTCTCTACAATGTCCTGTCAGGTAGCTGTAGAGAGTGATGAGGCCTCCCCTCAGCCTTCTCTTCCTCAAACTGAACAGTCCCAGCTCCTTCAATCTCTCCTCACAGGATTTATTCTCCAGGCCCTTCACCAGCTTCGTTACCGTCCTCTGCACTCGCTCCAGCACCTTGATATCTCTCTCATATTGAGGTGCCCCAAACTGGACACAATACTCCAGGTGTGGCCTCACCAGTGCAGAGCACAGGGGGACTATCACCTCCCTACTTCTGACAGTCACACTATTACTAATACAAGCCAGGATGCTGTTGGCTTTCTTGGCCACCTGGGCACACTGCTGGCTCGTGTTCTGCTGCTTGTCAGTTAGAACCCCCAGATCCTTCTTTTCCAGACAGCTCTCCAGCCACACCTCCCCAAGCCCATAGCCATGCAGGGGGTTGTTGTAGCCCAAGTGCAGGACCTGGCACTTGGCCTTGTCGAAGCTCATCCCGTTAATGCTGGCCCACCGATCCAATCTATCCAAGTCTCTCTGTAGAGCCTCCCTATCCTCATGCAGATCAACACTCCTGCTTTACTTGGTGTCATCTGAGAATTTACTGACGATACACTCTATGTCCTTATCAAGATCATCAATAAAGATGTTGAACAGAAATGGTCCCAACACCGAGCCCTGAGGAACACCACTTGTGACTGGCTGCCAGCTGGATTTAGCTCCACTAACCTCCACTCTCTGGGACCGTCCATCCAGCCAGTGTACGCTCATCCAGGCCATGGGCAGCCAGTTTTAATATGAGAATTCTGTGGGGAACTTTGTCAAATGCTTTTTGAAAATCCAGGTAGACAATATCCACAGCTTTTCCCTCATCCAATAGTTGGGTCATTTTGTCATAGAAGGACACAGAAGTCTTCTTCCCTTTGGCACAGGGATGACCAATTATTATCAAAGAAGTTGTCAGCAATCTGAAAGTAACATCAGCTGGAAAAAATCCCTCTTCCACTAGACTAGTCATGATTGGAAAGGCAGCAAATCTGCTGCAGTCTCAAGTGTGTAATACCCATGATTTCCATCTCAGTAACATAAAAGTCTAGCTCCTTCTTCCAATGCCTGCTTAACATGTCCAAAGGGCTGCTGCCCTCCCAACAGTGCTGCTACACTCCCTAGATTGCCTCTTCTGGCTGCAAAGTCCCAAACAGCATCTTGTGATACCAGTAACTCATCTGAAGCTTTCCGTCCTCCCATGTGGTCCTGATAAAGGAGCTTTTTCACTCATTGACTCCTATATGAGACTGGCCTTGACAAGAATTCATGGGACCTTTGAGGCTGACAGACTGGTCACTAACCTGAGCAAAAATAAGATGGCCAGAGAAGATGTCCATGGTCAGCAAAGTAAATAGCAAAGCATAATATTCCAGCTACCAGACAACTAGCTGCAGACATACCATTGATGAACAGTCCTCACACAAACCAAAATTCACTACTGAATATCTTCTACATTTTAAAATTGCTAATGTGGCTGTCAAGCTAACATGAGACACTGAAGTAGCTACCATTTGTGGGCGATTATAAATTTTATGAAATGTCTTTTATGCTGTATGTTAAATGATTTCACAAATCATTTCTCCACAGCCAAGAAGTGACAACTTTTTATACATTATTCAACAGGCACTAACTTTTTTTGTTTCTTTCTTACTTGCTATGGTCAACTTCACACAAAACCACCCCTGTTCACACTAACTGTTGCAGTATTAGAGTATGAATCATCTTCACAGTCTACACAGTGCATGTAATATACTTTGGAGGGCTGAACAGTTACTTTAACCATGAGAACACTCTACAATACTGCTAGACACATTTGACATAAGTTCTGATAAGTCCGTAAGTGTAAAAATATTTACGACTAAGATGCTTCTTACTGCTGTGACAGAAAAGAAAGCTTTATAGCAAACCTCCTGTAAAAGTGAAAGAATGCATATTGTTTAGTCAGCATCAGAGTGCAACACATATCATAAGGGGCTGCATATGGCTTCCTCAGGGAAAGGCATACCAATTTTCCCTCCCTTGCCACTGAGTACCATAATTGAATATGTTACGCACATTAGCAAGAGAATTTCTGGAATGAATACGTCTGGCTGGTAGCACTTTCATATAGTTTAGATTAATGTGATTTAGGGCCAAAATCTGACATAAAATCTTTTACTGGTTCAATGAAAACACCTGTTCTCTGTCCCAGTGTTCATGATTGGGCATGTTCATTGTTCTATTTAACTGAAAAACAAGACTAGCAATGCAGACATCTGAATAACCTCAGCTTAAAGATCTCTACAGAAAATCTTTAGGCTGATAAAGTGGAACCTTTACTGCTTAAACCAGTGTGCAAGACACATGTTTTTCTTCACTGTACTACTGAGACAGAAAAAAAATCTTTCACTGTACAATTTTTAAAAATCACTACATAATCACATCACGATGCTTCTAAAGAGCATGTCAGTAATTTATAAAATGAAACGACTTTGCCCTGCCAGTCAACAGTAAGGAAAAACTGATTTTAAAAATCATTATTTTAGTAGATTGAGATCATGTAGCAACAGGCTTAAAAAATACTCTAAAGGATTCTCTACCATTTTACCTCTTTGTCTGAATGATGTATTTTGCTTTTGAAACAGGTAAGAAATGAGCATAATCTATGCATCACGTTCTCTCTTAACTTTAATCAAGAAGTTATTGTAATAATTTTACTTGTTTGTGGTTTGGCTTGAGCAACGTGTACTGGTTTTAAGTGGTTCAGAAACATGACACTAATTTTTTTAACAAAATGACTGTAAATAGTTATCTGCCTCTACTTGAAGTCACTCAATGGCTTCCAAACAAGTTTACTTCACAAGTAAAACAGCATGCTATTTTCTCCTAATTGCCAGAACCATAATCCATTATTTGAAATTCCAACAGTATTTTTCTGAAGTTACTCAATATTTTTTTCAATTTGTCAGTTATATGCATATAAATTTTAAATATTGACATAGAATATGTGCTTATCTTTCCTAGACTACCTTGGAGCATAACTTAGCCTTCATGAACAACCATACATTGGTCAAACAGGCTGCATCTGAACAGACAGCCCTGGAAGAAACTCCATTCCTGAGCTGACCTCAGCTGCATTTTAGGGCCATCACCAGGTCCTCACCAGTAGGAAATTAAGATACCTAGGAGCAGCCAAGTGTCTGAGGGTCCCTTAGTCTAGGCAGTCAGGGAGTGGGGACACCACAGATCTCCAAAGAGTCCCTGCCAGGCAGTTGCAACACACTTACACACTCCAGAGTTAATATGCTGCCTACTCAAATCCTGCCATTCTTTCCATTCCTGATGCTGTTCTTTGGCTTTCACAGCAGGGCTGTGCCATGCTGATCATACCTCAAGACTTCTAGAACATAAGTCCTTTTCTACAGCTTCATACATTTCTGAGCTACTCATATATTCTGCATGTTTTAGAAGTAGGGACATAAAACATCAGTCATCAAAAAAAATCCACAAGTTCCTCATTCAGAAAAGCCGTGCTTTCGTACATGGGAACATTGCCAGTTTAAAGGTTTTGTAAGCTGTAAATTGAAAAAAAAAAAAAAAGAAAAGTAGAAAGGGAAATTACATAGAAATGACATTTTATTTAGATCAAATTCCCATTCAGAACCTTAACATTCAGAAAATTGAGTCTACTCTGCTATGTGATTGATGCTTAAAACAGCTATTTTCTGTATTTTTTTTCAAAGAATGTGACACTCCTAGCTCTCCACACTCCCAACCCATACTCTATACACTTCTCTCACTGGCCATCTTCCTCATTAAGACAGGGAAGACACAAAGACAGTACAACACATGAAGAGCTTCTGCCTTCTCTCGGGCTCCAGGGTGAGTAGACTCACTGTAACTGTTGCAGACACATCAGAACTATCACTCACTATTAACTCTGCTATGGTGTCTTCCTCCTCAGCATGAGTCGAAGGCTCTTTTTGGCTCCTCTGACTTAAAAAAAGAAACCTGCGTAAGATATGGGTACTGTCAACATCTGACCTTGTAACATGGACAGCAATAGACAGGGTTGGATTCACAGCACCTGATGTCCTAGCTCTTGACTCCTACATCTAAAGTTGTCTGCCTAAGCTCCCTTTGTAGTTAAGGGAGAAAAAGTAGTATGTTCAGGGTACTTCCATCTGTTCTATTTCAGACCTTTAGCATGAGAGGAAATTAAGTCCTAGAAGTGACAGTTTCTCACCACTGATGACAAGACAGTTCTAGACAACCAGGTCAAACGTGGACATGCATAATACAGATACTGACTGCACAGGTCTGATTGACACAGACAGATGAAAACATTTTATTTATTCTGATGAAGGATGACTTGACTTTGGAGTCTAATGTAATTTAGCTGAATTTAACACTAAACACTACATATATACAGTTATAAAACATCCACCTACAACAGTAAATCAAAAGACTGCTTTCCAGAACAGAAGAATTATAAGCAATATGAAATGAAAAGAGTTATAGGTAATATGAAATGCACTGCCTTTTATTTAAAACACTCACCTTATTTCCAGCACCAAAGAATTATTGATTTTCCAACCTTCTACAGCATGCTGGAAGATTGAGGAGCCACCCTTTCGAATAACCTTATCAGAGCTGTTGATCACTGATCTACTCAAACTCAGTTCGCCATCTCTGCAATGCAATATAGAAAAGACACAATTACATTAAGGCTAACTTCAGTTTTAATTAATTTACGTCACATACTTCCTTTCATTCACAACAAAAGGAAGCAATTATCTCTCTGCTTGCCAAAGCAAATAAACTGTACCTGTAAGATATCTATATCTAATACTTGAATATGCAACTTAAGAGCTTAAATATGTTTATAATTGTAGTGAAATAAACATAACAAAAATTACAATGTTCCAAACTGTGAACCTGGACCAAAATTCAGTATGACTGTGAGGCAGATTCTGCACTTCTATGTTCTAAATTTTCAGTACTAAACTAAGAATTAAGTGTTAACTTTCAAACCTTTGCCCAACAACTGCTCATGTTCTACAATAATGGCCTAATAGACTATTGATAACAACAGACTTTCATGCATTGAATTATGGAGTTTAATGGCAAACGACAAAATTTCCTAAAGACTTCCTGAAACTTTTGTATGCACACATCCAGACAACCCCAGTTGTCTTATTCTCTTTATCAATCTTATAATATTCATAAATTCTGATAAAGAAACCTTAAAAAATAAAAAAAAATAAAGCAAGCTGTGAGTAGCAACCTCTAAACACCTGAGGAGTATCATAATCATAGTATACCAGGCTGGAAGGGACCTGGTCTAGACAAGATGGCCCAGAACCCTGTCCAGCTGAATCTTAGAAATGTCCAATAATGTTATCAGTTGCAATTATTTAGCCATAAGGGTCACACATATGTGACAGAAAAGCTAAAACACTGCAAGTACAACCTAACATCTTACATCTAAAATCTGATTTTATCTCCATATTGTTTCCATTATCTTCCATACTGTTTCCATTTAGGTGTCAGAGCAACATTCAGCTGAGTTCAAACATAGCTGTTAATCATAAATATATCAAAGTTGTTGGATATAACAATCTACCATGTAAAATATCTTGTATCTCAGGAGTATATGTAAAGATAATATACAGAAATCTCTATCTGTTTAAGCATGCTCTGAAATACTGCCAATAACAGTAATTTCACTTAGCTTGCAAACAGAATTTTTTACTACCAACCATTCAACCAACAAAATGGAAAAGATGTGAGACTAAGCTTTCTAAAGAATTGCTGTCTCTTGTTTTCCTATGGCTATAAGTTCTTAAAATAACTGGATCCTGGCACTTAGTAAGAGCTACAACAACATTACTGCAGTATATAAAGTATTAAAATTTGGTAAATTATATAGCAAACTACACTAACCTGCAACAGGACACTAATTAAGCTAAATTAATGAAAGTGGTAATGTGTAGTCATTTGCAAGAAATTCTGTGATTGCAAAAGCCCCTGTAACTAATAAACCAGTATTATACAGTTAATGAAAAATAATCCAGCATATTAGCAATGCTCTCCCACCCTCATCACTATGCCAACACAACAGCAGCACTGATAATTACACTGACTCACAGGTAAGACAGCCACCTACCGAAAAACCTACAACTTTAAGCAATTGTGTAGGTACAAGATCTGTATGCAAATTATCCAAATTATTCTAACTTGAGGGCATGGGAGGATGCTGCAGAAGTCCCTTCTCAATAACTAGAATATAATTAATACTTTTGCCTATTTAAAAAAAAAAATAATTAAAAAAAACCCATTTCCATAATGGTTGTAAATGTATTTATTACATATATTTTCCTTCATGTATTTTCTAGATGCATAGAGTGTATGCATCTAAAGGAAAATTACCAAAATAGATCCAGTTAAAATACTCAATCTGAAAGTATGTCTGCAGTTTATGCTGGGTTAACCATTACCTGGTAGACACTTTGACAGTAACAGTTGAAAAAAGTCAGCAACAAAGTATGTTGCCAACACCTAAACCACTGTACCACTTGAAATGTGGTCGTCTTCCATATTCATAGTTTACGTGTGCAGTGAGCTATATAGATTGTACAGTAAAACAATGATAAATTATGTTCCACTGAGCTACAAGGACCTACACACTGTTAAACTTCTACTATGAACACAAAGTTGTTCACTTAAAAGCTCCTCTCCCTTCTATTGGTACTGGTTTAATTTTCACTAAAGTAATATTAAATAAACGAACACACAAAACCCTATATTTACTTCAGAAAATTCTTCATTGTGTACATAACTGTGAAATAAATTTGGGCTACCTTCTATCTTCTAGAATCACTGCAAATCCTCTGTGTAAACACACTGCCAAAGTGTGACAGCAACAGTATTAACCTTCACTCTGAAGTACTTTGCCTTGGTGACCAATCAGACCAATATAAGACAACTATCTCTTCTCCTGAAGACAATTCATGAAATGCAATTAACTTCCTGCAAGCATTTTCCATACCAGCAGAAGACCATACTGTTTAAGAAACACTGCATTCCACATACTATGCATGTTTCATTACTTGCTTAACCTTTAAAGGGACATGCCTTCTTTAGAAGGGCATGCTTTTGCGATTATTGTCCTAACAAACTGCTATGAGAACACAGCTGATTTAAGGTTTATCACATACTTTGGAATTGCACATAGTTCATTTTGGAACATCTGGGATATACCTGCAGTGTCACTATAACCATAAGATGGGCCATCTCATGCATTCGCAGTTTTGCATTACTTCCGGAAGTAAAACATCCCATGGAAGACTGACTTTGCTTGCCTATGTGATGAGTCAAAAATAACCAAACAGCATAAGCCCTTCCTTCAGAAGAAAGACAACTGTAACATCAATAGCAGCAGCAGGCACTAGTAGGACACTCTAGTTGTGGGGTTTTTTTTCCTGCTTCATACAGTAATGGATGGGACGACAGGCTGGGAAAAGAAACTATATTCAAACATACTTAGCCAAAGTGAGTAGCACATACTGCACAAGAAATTGCACAGATACCAAAGAAATAGAGATATCACTAAATGAACTGTACATTACAGCTATATTTTAAATTGTTGTTAAGGACATACATATTTTTGACCAAATAAACATTTCATTTAATATTAAATCATCAGTTCATTTTAGTACCTTTAAAATCGTGTCAAAAAACATATCATAAGCTGGAGGGGGCTTTTTATTAAAACATATATGGATTCTACCTAGTGACTAATTTCTGAATCATTTTAGCAGCTACCTCTAGTCTGAAAGGAAGAAGTATATATTAAGAAACGTGGGTATCGTTAATGCTGATTCTCCCTCACACATACGTTTTCACAAGTATTTGTGCGCACCTAAAACCCAAAAATGTTAAACTTATGTGTATCTCTTAAGTATGCAGATACCATAGCATGATAACAGAAACTGGGCTTACACCCAAGCTGAACAAGTGGGAAAGTTACCATCAAGTTCTGAAAATCCCTAAGACCAAGTGAAGTAAACATCGAATCATTAATCAGCCACACACAGAGGCGAGGCCTTTCCCTGCTCCCGGAAAGTATCGGGGCTACTGCCTTCCTACTGCATCTGTGCCTAGCTTCCCCACTGGTGTACCTGGGCAAGCGTCCGGGAAGAGTGATAAACTTTCTGCCTTTAACAAGGGGGTCAGCAGGGCGAAGAGGGGACTAAGGTTGTAATTGCCCCAGCTTCCTCCAGGCTTCTGTGGGCATTTAAAACCTCCTTATGTCTCCTCCTCAAATCAAGGCAAGGATCTCCACCAAAGAATGAAAATCTGCTGAGAATGCATCTCTCCCCCAGTCGATATGCACAAGCAAACAAAAAGTGTGAGCCCCTTTCCCTCCTTGCTGATTTCACTCAGTCACCACGGAATTTATGCATCCCTTCTATGAAAACAAAAAATTATACCCCTCCAAGAAGAAACAGATTTGGCTGAAAACCCAACATCTTCACGGGATAGCTGCAAGTTGGGAGAAAAATAAGGAATATAGGCATGCACGAACACAAAACACACGGCACGACAAGGAGAAAGCTGAGGTGCAAACAGAAAATTGGCAAGCAACATTTCGCCTTTTATTTTCAAGACAAGCAGGAGAGGGAAAATACACAACAGATGGTCTCAGCGAAGGGAGCGGAGTTTCCAGCGAAGGAGCCTCGGGAGCTAAGGGGGATGTCCCGCGGACTCTCAAAGCAAGATTCCCCAAGGAGCACCGAAGTTAAGCACAGCTCCCAGGCAAACTTCAAGGACGAAGGCAAAGGCCGCCTGGAGCTGCCAGCGGCCGCGCACCTCAGCACGCTCGCCTCTTAAAGGACTCCCAAAGCAGGAAACGAGGCACAACGTGCTTCGGCGGCCGCCACCAGCATCTCCAGCTACCCCGACCCTCGGTGAGCAGTCGCGGCCAGCTTTACTTCCCCGGCGCGTCCTACCACTGGGGCTGCGGGGGGAACAGCACCAGCCGCAACCCCAGCATCACGCAACCTTCCGCTCGACCCCATCCCCCTCGGCCCCAGCCGCTGAGCACCGATCGTTACCCGTCCCGCCACCCCTCTCCGGCACCCCCCACAGCGAGAACGCCAAGCTGCGCTGGGTGAACGGGTCACGGCCCAGGGTCGCCGGGTGACCCCGGTGGGGCCGCGAAGAGGACCTCTGGCAGCGGTATCGCCCCGTCGCCCTCTCAGGGAGCCCGCCCGGCGCCTCACAATTACCCAGCGAGAGGTGCCTCCTGGCGCTCTTCGGTCCGCGCTATTTCTTTCGTCTTATAAAAGATAAGGAGGAGACTTATCGTGCACACAGTCCACCTCTTCCTGACTGAACGCATGTCTTCTGCGAAACGTGGTCCTCCTCCCCCTTCTCCTTTGTCAGGGGTGAGCGAAAAACAACTCCACACGCAGCACAAATTACTAAAACCACAATGATTTCTTTTTTAGAAATAATTAAAGAAAAAATATTTAAAATAAGGCGAGCGCTGACGCTGGGGGTTGTTTGGCGTTTAATTTGTCTTCTTTCACCTTGTTCTCCCCTACACAGAAGCCAGAGGCTCTCAGGCAGCAGCTCGCTCTCCTCGGCCGGGGGGACAAGTCCG